CTATAGCATAATCCCGGGCACGGGCGGAGGAAAGATCACGTTCCGGATGTATGGAAATGTTCGGGTGATAACCCTTATTGGCGAAGAATGGTGAAACTCCGGTGGTAGCACTCGGAGCGTTGTTGTACGCAAACTCGGCCAAGGGTAACAGTTCCGACCAATTGTCCTGCTGATAGTTGCAGTAGATCCGGAGGTATTGTTCTAGGGTTTGGTTAGCTCGCTCGGTTTGTCCGTCGCCTTCCGGATGATATCCGGAGGTGAAATGGAGGATCATATCTAACGCTTTTCCGAGCGACCGGAAGAAGTGGGAAACGAATTCCGTACCGCGATCGGAAGTGACATGGGACGGAACTCCGTGCTTGGAAAACACATGGAGGAGGAATAACCGGGCGAGGTCCGGAGAGGTGATGGTGTCATAGGTCGGAATGAATATGGATTGCTTGGATAGTCGATCTATGACTACCAGGATGGCTGTGAAGCCGGAGGAATCAGGGAGTTGTTCAATGAAGTCCATGGATATAGAATTCCACGCCTTCTCGGGAATGGGAAGTTGCTTCAATAATCCGTATGGTTTGTGTCGCGGAACTTTAGCTCGGGCGCAGGTCGTGCAGGACTTAACATAGTCCTTCACATATGCGCGGATTCCGGGCCAGGTATATTCCCGACGGATAACTTCCAGGGTCCGGTTCTGACCGAAATGTCCGGATAGCGGGTGGTCGTGCGTATTCCGGAGCACTCGGAGACGGAGGTCATTGGATTCTGGAACGTATATACGGTTGTCGCAACGGAGGAAACCACTCTCCTCCACTGTCCATCTCGGGTCCGACGGATCCGGAAGATGACAGGAAGCGATAGGGTCATTAGGGAGGGCGGACAGAATGTCCTTATGAAGCTGCTCGACATCCATCAGTACAGCTGTCCGGAGCACCGGAATTGCTAGGTGTGATGCCCGGAGGGACGAAGCGAGCTGTTCTGTGGTAAATATCGGCCGGAGGTTGTGTGGATTAACTTGAGCGTAGTCCTTATCCCCCTCTTTGGGGTAGACGTCCCAACGTCTAGTTAGGCAGTCGGGCTTAGCTCCGAGTTTTCCGGGTCGGAAACGGATAATCAGGTTGAACTGGTGAAGGTATTCCGACCAGCGGGCCTGGCGGCGGGTGAGGAGTTTTGTGGTAGCGAAGTACTCAAGGTTCTTGTGATCCGTGACGACGTCTATCGGCTCGGCAGAGCCTTCAAGGTAGTGTCGCCAGGACCGGAAAGCTTCGTAGATAGCTAGAAGTTCCTTATCATGGGTGTCATAGTTGAGTTCCGGAGCCGAAAGGGTCCGGGAGTAAAAAGCAACCGGGCGGAGCTCCTGGTCCGGACATACTATAGAAAGTATTCCGGCGATAGCATAGTCGGAAGCGTCCGTCTCAACGACGATAGGAACATCCGGCATCCAGTGCGTAAGCACCGGAGCGGTAGTGAAGGCTTTCTTGAGAGTTTCAAAAGATTTCCGGCAATCCTCGGAGAAATTCCAGGGAGCATCCTTGCGAGTGAGCCGCGTAAGCGGAACTACAATATCCGAGTAGTTAAAGATGAAGCGACGATAGAAATTGGCGAATCCGAGGAACGATTGAATATCCTTGACTTTCCGAGGTTCCGGCCAGTCGCAGATAGTCTGGACTTTGTCGGAGGACATTGTAAGTCCGGCCGGAGATAGGAGGTAACCGAGGTATTCTACAGAGTCGGAATGGAATTCGCACTTCTCCGGTTTAGCATATAGCCGATGCTTCCGGAGGCGTCGGAGGACTTCAAGGACGTGTTTTTTATGAGATGCAAGGTCTGCGGAATAGATGAGGATGTCGTCGAGGTACACAATAACACAAATGTCAAGCATATCGGCAAAGATGGTATTGACAAAGCGCTGGAAAGCCGCCGGAGCATTGGTGAGACCCTCCGGCATAACCAACCATTCATACGAGCCGTAGCGCGTCCGGAAAGCAGTTTTCCACTCGTCTCCTTCCGCCATCCGGACTAGATGGTATGCGGACCGGAGGTCGATCTTAGTGTAAACTTTAGCGCGGCTCGGAGAATCGAGAAGGTCGGAAATGAGGGGAAGCGGGTAGCGGTCTTTCTTTGTGATTTTATTGAGTCCTCGGAAATCTACACAGAGGCGTAGGGAGCCGTCCTTCTTTTTGACGAATAGGACAGGGGCTCCGTGCGGAGAGGATGAGGAACGAAGAAGTCCGGTCGCAATATTCTCATCAAGGAATTTGCGAAGAGCTACAAGCTCAACCGGAGAAAGGGAATAGATGGTGCCAAGGGGCGGAGCCGCTCCTTCTTCCAATTCGATCTTTAGATCATATGGACGATGGGGAGGGAGCTGTCCGGCTTTGCCCTTATCAAAGACATCCGCATACTCGTGATATTCCGAAGGAATTCCGGATAGGTTCGGAGGTTCGGAGGAGAGTGTAGCGGAGCGGAGATTGACACCGGACGGACGAACAAAAATACTGAACTGAACCGATCCCTCTAATTTACAGGCCCGGCAAAAGGCAACTGCATTGATTAGGGAAATATTAGGACCGGCATTATCAGCGGAGGGAATCGGCGAGGTTGAGGAAGGGATTTCCGCCGGAGCCGGCGGAAAAGAGGTCGGAGGGGTCGGAGGCACTCCATGAGGAATCGGACGGAAATCGATGCTGCCCTTTACCCAGTCAATCAACGGATTGTGTCGGGTGAGCCAGCTATATCCTAGAACGATGGAACAGGATGAGTCCAGCGGAGTAACATAAAATGTTTCGGAGGTAACCACGCCGGTCGGAAACCGGATCGGTAAATCTACTGCCTCAGTAATAGTGGCATTAGAAGTACCATCAAACAGATGGAGCGGAAGCGGAGGAATTGCATAGGTTGGAATGTTATTTTCTCGGATTAATCTGGTTTCTATAAAACAATGAGACGATCCACAATCTACAAGAGCCGGAAACGGAGAGATATCGGGAAAAGTAGAAATTGAAACGGATGGTACTAGAGAGTTCGGATCGGAAAAGGAAATAGCGTTGAGACGTAGCTCCATTGCGCGGGTTGAGTCAACGCAACCCTCGTCCCGCGCGGAGTCAGGAGGGTTGCGGACTAATTTTTTGTCTCTTCCGAGACCTCCGGTTTGGCTTCCGGAGTCACCGTGCTAGCACGACCTTTGGCCGCACGGGAAGTGGACTTTAGGCAGTCCCGGGCAGTGTGACCGGGTCCGCCGCAGAAGAGGCAGAGCTTCTTCTCCATGCGCCTCTGGCGTTCCTCGGAGGTGAGTTTGCCGTCTTTTCCGAGCTTGGACGTCAAGTCCGGAAGTTTGGCGGAGGAGGAAGCCGAAGCGTTTCCGGATTTTCCGCCGGAGTACTCTTTCCGGTCGGAAGTGGAAGCTGACTGCTTAGCAGGAGGCGCGGATGCGGAGGGTTTGGTTTCGCGGGAGACTTCTCCCTTGCGTTCCCAGTATCGAGCGTCGATAGTCTGGGCGAGAGTTTTGTATTGGGACAGAGTGGTGGGTTTTCCTTGACGACTGATTTCGTCTTTGATGCGAGCCGGAAGTCCGTTGTAGAACTGACGGCGCAAAGCTCCGTCGCCCCAACCTCGGACTTGGGAAGCTAGCCGCTGGAACTCTACAACATACTTGTTGATGCGCTGTCCATCGCGCATATAGAGCTGTTCCAGCTGCATTTCCGCATCTCCGACCGGGTCGTGAGGTCCGAAGTTAGTTTGGAGTTCTAACATGAACTCGGAGTAGTCATCCATCCAATCCGGACGATCCGCTAGATCATCCGAAAGGAGGTCCGGCTCAAACCATTCAAGGGCCATGCCCTTGAGGTATGATTGCGCGAAGTTGACCTTAGTTCGGCCGGTACGGAAAGATTTCGGCTTAGCTTGGAAGTTAAGCTCACATTGGACAAAGAACGCCCGGAGTTTCCGGGGCTCAGTGCCATCGAAGGTATCCGGTTCTCGGACTTTGACTTTAGGATCACCGGATCCGGAGGATTGGCGGTTGTTACGCGCCAGGTTATTGATGGCTTGGGATAGCCGGAGGAAGACCAAGTCTTGTGGACCTAGACCTTCGTTTTCATCGTCAGTCGGGTCTTCCGGAGGTTCATCATCCGGATCTCCGCCACCTCCTCCTGGCGGGTTACCGCCTAGGGCAAGTTCATCGTCGGAATCATTGTGCGGAAGATTTCCGGCGGGTGTGGGGGTGGGGGTAGACGGATGTGGGCGATTCATGAGTTGTGAGATACTGGAGGCAGCACCTTGCGCACTAGCGCGGCGCTGTGAGAAACTGAGGAAGGCATCGACTATGGGAGTAGAGTCGCGTCGGGCGGTTACAACACCCGCTGCATTAAGAGCGGTCTGCGCCCGTGTAGGTGCCATGAAGTCAGATGTAAGTATACTCGGTAAGGTGTGAGTTCGAATATACTGTTAAGAACGTGCTCAAAGGGTCGGATCCGAAGGGCTTGGCTTCAGCTCGTGCGCTGCGCCCCTTACCCGAGTACGTGCCCCTAACTTCCGAGGGTGGTTGAACGATGTCCGAAGTTTACCGGACGATGTCCGGAGGGCGTCGGGTGATGTCCGGAGTCCGATGTCCGATGCGCGGGAATTCCGGCGGACGTTCGGAAACAAGAGATAAGACTAATCCGGACGAAGTCCGAACTAGAAAGGAAACAGCGGAGGACTACCAGAGGTAGAGGCGGAGGTGACAAGTCTATAGGAGTCGATCCTAAGACGAGCGGAGGTCGACGAGAGAGAAACTCGAGTCGGACGGAGGAGAGAATGAGCAGAGTCTAATATGATATTCGAACTGAGGAAACTACAGAGATTGTACAGGGGTTTATATACTACTGAGGACATAACGGAGAATAGTAAGTGCAGTGCGAAGCTATGTAAAGCTATGAAGAAAACATATGGTACGACTATCACTAGTCTATCGGAACTTAGTAAAATGAAGACGGAGATGAATGAGGAACGGAAAATAAAGTGTACTAACTGATAAGGGAAATACCAAAGGGATAAGGCGCGGAAGTTAGACGCGAGTCGGATCCGGACGATACATAGAAGTCGGCCGGATCCGGAAATCCGGAAATGATGAGTGTGATAGGTCCGGGTCCGGAACGCGGGATATGACAGTATCCAAGGTGATCGTTGAACTGGTCGTTTGCCTCGGGGAGTTTGAGAGGTGTGTAGTAGACCACCTTGTCTGATCCAGGGTCTTCGGAGTCAGTGAAGATGTGGAGAGAGAAGGATATCGTCAGTGCTTATGACATCATCTTAAGTAGGTTTGAACGCAAGAAGGAAAATCAAACTGACACTTCTCAACCAACATTCCCTCAGGGTCAAGTTTCTTCTCCTCGCCAACGTATCTATACTGGCAGGTGTATATGACGCTCTCATCTTCCACTCCTTCGCACGGCTGCTTAACAACGTTTAATACGACGAGGTTGGACCAGCCTCGATAGAAGTCGCTGAGGCAGTTGGCTGCAGATTGAAGGAGCGAATCTGCATTACAAGTGAAAGTCATGATGCCAGACCAAGGAAAAAACATACTATTCTGCTCTAATTTACGAATTTTTCCACAAAGTTGTTTCAGTTGGCTCTTCATGTGGGAGAGTTCTTCTTGTAGTGCACACCGCCCCCCATCATGATCCATGGTAGCAGGCAACGGCAGTTCCTCAGGATGACGTTCGTCGGAAGTTAAATCAATGATGTGGGCGTGGGTTGGGAACAGCTTTGGGAGGGTGTTTATAGACTTTCTGGGATTGGAATACTGGTAGGATGCTGTCTGGGTGTCATGCTGTGAGCACTAAGGGGGAGAAGACGATTCAAGCTGAGTGCATCCTACCAAGTCCTCTGCCTCATTGGCTGTGGGGCATTTGTTTGATGCGGACGCCTTCCAGGTCTCCGCAGACTGTACGCCTACGTTCGTGTTTGTCCAAGAATTCTTTCCTGCTCTACATTCCTCCACTGAGCCTTGACAGTCCCTTGTTGGAGTGGGGGTCCTTGTGAGGTCAATGACAGTAGGGTACTTGCCTGGCGGCGTCAACTGTACCAGAGCAGAATCTGAGGGAATATCCTGTGAAAAGATCAGCCACAGGTAGTATCATTAAACGTGTCACTTACAGGTATGGAACTTTCGCTGCCTCCCAACGATATTGAATACTCAACGTACTCGTCACCCAACAAGCTGTAAACATAATTTTCTGCTCTAACATCCTCCAGTGGATCTACGTCTGTAGAACGTGTCTCTGAAGGTTTTACATCCTCGGACAAGGTGCGTCGTACAGCTTGAACGACGCCTGCTTCAATATTGCTGCTAGCATCAGCTCGGGCCTTCTTCCTGGGTGGACCATCGTCCTTTGATATCTTCAGCGCCCCCATGGGCAACTCTGCGTCATCCCGTTTGCGTTTAGTGCCTGCCAGCTTTGCTGAAGAAAAAACAATCTGGACCTATGCAAATATTGCAGCCGTCAGTGTATTGTTCATCAAACACCTCCTTGTGCTCACTACCCCACGCTGTCGGAGAGCCTCTATGAACCTGTTCGAGTCCTCGTGTTTGATTTCGAAATTTAGATAGAGGCTCTGGCCTCTCGGTACGTTCAGCGGCACTTTCCCCATATGTGGTGGATTTGTTAAATTGACGCGAACGATGGCTTTGTTGGGCGGTGGCCCATTTGAAGGGACCATTGTAATAGCGCGTATGCGGCTATAACTGATCGTCAAACTTTCGTAAACATTACCCTGGTTATAATAGTCAGTGAGGTTTGCGACAGAGCTGTAGCGATATTCACCTGCGCAATAACATCCACCAGGAACGATTCTCTATCCAGATGCAAGCGGTCGAATGCAGCTGGCTGAGAATATATTTTACCACACACATGGATCTCATCCAAGTCAAATGATTGAGGGCTACCTGTTAAGACCATGCACAAAGGGTAGGACTGATTCCAAGGGGCTTGGCTTCAGCTCGTGCGCTGCGCCCCTTACCCGAGTATGTGCCCTTAACTTCAGAATGAAGTCCGGAGAAAGTCCAGTGAAGTCCGAAGGACTTCCGGAGAAGCGTGGGAAACTTCGGAAGGACTTTCCGGACGAGTGCGAGAAACTTCCGGATGAGTGCGGGAAACTTCCGGAGGAACTTCCGGAAATTACGATGGAGTTTCGTCCTGACAGGGATATGTATAATGGCTACTCAGGACGAGTCCTGAGTAGAAGGAAACAGAGGAACGGCTGCAAGGACAAAGTCCGAAGCAGGATAGGTCCGGAGGACCGCGGGAAAGTTCCGGAGGAACTTCCGGAAACTCGGAGGAATGGAGGATTGGATGAGTGGATGAGCGGATGAGCGGAGGATCGGAGAAGCGGAGCTCCGGCCTAGGGAATTTCTCCCTAGGCCTGAGATGGATGATTACTAAGTCGGAGGAATAGAACTGTTACGAGGACTTAGTGTGAAGACTAGTGCAAGGACTAATATGTGTATGATATTCAGACTGAGGAAATACAGGAGTATCTACTGGGGTTTATATACTAGAGGCAAGTCTGTGCAGATCAGTAAGCAGAGGGGTAAGGCTATGTACGAGCATGTGGAAATGTATTAGAAAATAAGACGGATCATAGGAAATGAACTTGGAGATGAAATGAGGTACGGAAAATGAGGAAGTCTAACTCAAGAAGGAACATACAAAGGGATAAGGCACGGAAGATAGACGCGGGTCGGATCCGGATGTCCGGAGATGAATGCGTGATAGGTCTGGGTCCGGAACGCAAGGAAGATAGACGTGGGTCGGGTCCGGATGTTCGGAAGTCCGGAGACAGGTGATTACCATAAGGGGATGGGCGCTGATTTAAGGTTTGGGTTCGGACATGACAGATAGGTCGGATCCGGAGATCCGGAGATGTGGATATCAGATCTGGCGTCCGGATATCAGATGCAGGAGTACAGGGATCCGGACGGATAGAGGATTGGGTCTGGAGACATGGACAGGAGGTCCGGAGGTCCGGAGGTCCGGATGAGGCGTGGGAACGTCGTCAGATGTTGGTCCGGAATGCGGGATATGACACTACCGCAGGAAGTGGATCAGTCTGGCTTGCCTCACCAAACGAGGATACTCACAATGTGATATCACTTCGAGCCAGAGCGTCCATGACCTTCATGGAAGTATCTTCCCAGCATGATCCCTCAATAGACTGGAGGATGCTATCAACTAACGTGAAACTGCAACTAAAATGCTTCATGGAGCCAAAAAGCTCTTTGATGAACGTCGTCCGTTTCTCTTTCCCTTCCTCCGTTTTATTTGATGGCATCAGCAACCCCACGAGATCCAGCAGGGCGTCAATTACAAGGTAATCTGAGGAGAGTTAGACAGGGTTTCTACAATGAGGCCTTGTGTTGACCTACCCTTGGACTGCGAGATTGCCATGCCAATGAACGACCTAATAACCAGGTTGAGATCACAATTGGATACAGAGTGAAATAGGTTTACCATCCAAGAACTGCATGGTCGCGCAGCCTCCGTTGGTTGCCCGGATGCTTGGCAAGTGTATCACGTAGCAGGGAAAATGCCTACAAACAAAGCATATGACGGGTGAGTGATGCTCAGTATATGCTTCCTATCTAACCACCATCAAAGCACTCACAATCACCTGCGTTTGTTGCAGAAGTGCCGAGGATGAATCCTGGTAAAAAAATGTGTGCATATAGTTGCATAAAACGCTGATGCAACAGCTTCCTTTGTAGCATCTGCTCCATTGCGTGTTAGATACTAAAGCGCCAAGAAGGAACACCCGGATGAAATCATACCGTCACATTGCTTATCAAGAAAATCCTAGATTTTGACCTGGTTGAGCTTTGGTCAGCGTCCTGAGAAGGGAGATCATACCAAGACACCCGATAAGAGGGCAGCTGCAGTTTCATTCCATGAAACAATTAACTGAGTAGGTTGTGATTTCACTAGCGGAGTAGTCCTTAAGTTGTCAATGATCTTGCACATAATCGCAGAAGAAAGCTGGAGCGCAGGCCTGGGGACGGCAGCATACAGGGGAAGCGGCGATTGACGAAGGATTTCACAAAGCTTGGATGTCGATTGCAAGGAAGGAGAGGAAGATTTCTGAGATAAAACTGAGTGTCTTCTACATAACTACCAATCTGATCCCTCACCAAAAGAACGAGGTATAGAGCAAAGTTGTGGAAAGCGTCATTGACGCCTCCGTTGACGTTGCTGCGTTCGATGTCAGCTTTAAGCGCCCGTATAGCCCTATCGATCTCCTCCATCCGCACACCGGGAGCAGCTCAGTGAAGTTTAGGAGGGGAAAGATAATGAGCCAGTGGGGCAGTTGTCCACTAAAAGGGGCTTTCTTCCTCTGCACTCCAAGACAACGAGTATAAGTAAGCTATGGAAGAGTAAATTGAACTCAGCGGAGTGATTGTTTTCTTGGTGCTTTCTTTCTTGGCTCAAAATGTGTAGACGTGCCCGAATCCTGATGGTTTATTTTGTAGTATGCTCAATCTTGACTCAATCTGCAAATACACTGCGTCCGTCAGAGTCGACTCCTTACAGCCCCCTCATCAGGAAAAACCTCCTGGCCAAAATTTCGATAATCTTTGATAAAGTCCAAGAATTATGTCTAATTAGCAGCTTTAGGAGAATTAGGAAAATTATGTAGTTTAGAAGGACTTTCTTACCCCCTCATAAATTTTGCATAATTATCAAGAATTAGCTGATACTAGACACAATTGTGGTGAATTGCAGAAGCCGTTATTACAAATGTTGGTTCACAGATCACACATCCCAGGCAATGTTACAAGAACAAAAGCATCTGATATTTGATTACATAGAATATACACACAAAAGTAATTACTGTATAGCTACAATCGACCACAAATACGTCGACTGTGTGGACAGACGAGTCCATGCTGCTGCACTGTGAAGACGAAGAAGTACCTGCGCTTGTCGCACCAGAACCCGTTCTGAAACTGTCTCCTCCATAACGGAAGGAGTGCCAGGCGTGTTAGATGTGCTTGGGGGCTCGGTGAGGGAGGAGCGCTGCGCATGAGCGTCGTGTCGAGAGCGCTTCCGAATGATATCGGATTTCATACTAATGGGACGAGCAGAGCCTTGAAGCTTATAGTAGAGGCCGCATCTGTATGTATATAAGAGATTGGTACGAATATAGAAGGAACAACAAATGAGAACTTACGCGTTGCAAATGGTCTTGCCTTCATCATCCTTCCTCCACAAAGGAGTTGCAACCAGGACTCACCACCTCCACGACTCGGACCGGTGTCGCAGAAGAAGAAGAATGCGGTGGCGCTGCAGCCGAGGACAGCGTGGACAATGCAGAAGCCAAAGATGACGCACCACCCGTGTCGTCCTTCTCCATGACTAGCATGCATGGAGTTTGGACGCGGATGTTTATGTTACCAAAGAGAAGAGAAACGAGACGTCCGCTCAGCAAAGTCCATACGACGTATATAGATGAAATAATACTCACTAATTTACAACAGAGACCGCAAGCGTGATGAGTTACGACATGAGTGACTACCCACTATAAGGGTACGGGTATGGGTATGGGTGTCCAGGAATCAGTGTGGCGGTTGCTCGAACGACGAACCACGCACTCACCCGCTGCGAACGGCAAACAATGACTTGGATCAGTGTGGCTCTTGCTCGAACAAGGACCGACACACTCACAATCCAACGACGAGCACGGAAGGACGACTATGAACTACCTAGTTTGTAGTTACAAATGTTAAATAGAACTTTAAAAAAAATCTAAGACATACCTATCAGCTTGATGGTTGAGGCTGACGACGTTGAACGTTGAGGAATGAGGGATCGACGTCGGAAGTTCAAAAAGCTTTCAAACCAAAGTCATGCGAGCCAAACAAATGGTTGAATATCAACCAAACAGTCACGTGAGCGAAACAAATATGTGCAAATGATGAACTTCAACAAAATTTTACTCAGTCGTTCGCCACTTGTCCCAGGTGCACATGTTCTTTTTTCTCGTTTATAACTATCTTTAACCTTGCAGCGTGCTACTACGACACCACTCGCGCCCTACACTACATCCTACCCTCCATCTCGTGCTTCCTGTCTCGGCCCTCCTTCCACTCTTCTGGCGCTCTCCAGTGTCCTCCGCACACGTTTGAGCCACGTCAGCATTCGCTGATGTGCGCTGGGCGTGTGCGCTAAACACTGGTGGCTGCTGGGATCAGGTGGGGCGTCCCATGGTTCTGGATGATTGTAACGATTTTTGGTTTAATTCGTATTTAGATAGATTCACTATGTCAGAGCCTTTGCACACATGCATAGCTACTATATAACTTAACATAAGTCGCCTAAGGCCGCATGCGTGGCAAAGCCCGCTACCTAGCCGGGCCAAATTATTATTAGTCACCCTTGATCGTAGCTTCTCTTCTCAAAACACGTCCGTCAAATACTGAATGCGAAAAAGGCGATGTTCGATCAAAGGGATCTCAGATTTCCGAGAACCTAACTGAATCTGTAGACCAACTGTATCCAACCACCTATCCCACCTGAAAAGGTGGCTGTCCCATCCGATGAACCCAATTCCAACTTCCCCGAAAGGCAAAGCTACCAAGGCAGGAGGCAAGAGCTCAAAAATGTGCCCGAGCCCTACTAAGAATGGACGGTACACTTTTTTCTCTCTCAGACTTTGCTTTACTAATGCGTTGCGGAAATTGATGCGCTCTTCATTGGCTCAAGCAAATTAAAATCGGTGGGACAACAGAGGGATTTTGTACTTATTATGGGCGTCTGACGCTGAAGCAACGAAAGACAAGTCATATAAGCTCTTGTTGTATTAATTGATTCACACTGATTGATAGAAATATGACGAGGAAGCAGCTGCACTCGTAAGTCCTTGATTCTCTCTCGATGGACCTTCTAAACCATCGTCTACTAGGTCGCCTCCGATACATGGACCAAATCTGTCTCCGAAGGACATCTCTATTAGATTCACCACGATCCGACCCTGCACTATCCAACGTATGCATTTCCTACAATGTTTTCGAGCCGCTGTCTGCACGCGTGATGTTTTCAAGCCGCTATATGGGTTTTCGAGCTTTTTTGTACCATTTTTGTACCCCGTTGCTACAGTGCCTAATATTATTCTAGTATATTTGCGCACACTTTCAACCATCTGGCAAGGGGAGCGAGTATATGCGTTCAAATGCGCAAATATGTTTTACATTGAAAAGCACCTACGTGTATGAGGAAACCCGGCCCCACATATATTGAAATGTGCGGATTCGCTCACTACGTGTCATAGCGAGCTCTCATATGTTTTTCCACTGAGCTGCTGACAAAATCACATATCGTCACACTACGACTCCTCCCGTTTTGAGTTTGCAAAGGTTCACCAGCGCCGCTCAAGGCAAGACGCTGCCTGCGCGCATGACCGTGCTTCTTGAGGTGATTTTTGATAGTTTGACCTGTCAAAAGAATATGAGATGAGCAAACGGTGCTGTGAAGGAAATGTTAACTTTGCTGCATGTACTACTAGCCGTTAGTGCAGCAAGCCATTTCAAATTAAAACCAACCAGTCACCTTTCTTTCTCTTTCACTCAACCACCGGCTCAAGCTCGTCCCATACCCTAAAACGTGTGCAGATGCCATGGAAGGTGAGATCTTGTCAACAACCCCTCCCGATGTGCCCTAAGTATACTACCCTTAAGAACTGCTCCTGCCCCCCATTCCTATCTTTTCACCACCGCCAGGCAGATTAAAGCACCTCAATAGCCAGTACCTGTAAGATTAAAGATATGTATTCATGCATCTGTACTGATCCTCTGGCAGCAGACGACGAGGTGCAGCAGGAGAGTCGCACACCAGCCCCTCCCGGGCCCTCCAGTCACCCCCCAATCCCATACTGCCTGTGCCTTCTCCTCCGAGGCTGGGGTAAGTGAGACTAGCAGGGTATGTGTGAAGCAGTTAAACTAACCCTAGGGCTGGGTATAGCAATTGTTCTCCAAAGGGACCTGCTACTCAGCAGGGTGGCACGAGCGGCAGTGAACTAACTACTGAAAGTGAGTGTTGCACCATCTGTCTACCAAGTGCCTTCTAACAGGCGATAAGACATTACTACTTCACATAACAGCGATGCAGAAAGTGCTGAAATAGGGAGAAATAATGCCAGTAGCCATTCGGAGGGGTTCTCATTTGAAGGTCAGAGACTGCTGGTCCTAGTGTCTCATTCCAACCCTCCTGCTCATAACTTGAGTACAAGCAGCAGCACAGCCAAATAGCAGAACGATTCTAGCTGGCAGTGCTATTGCATCTCCTACAGGAGCGGGTGAATACTACTCACAGGGTGACTATCCAGACCCAGACTGGCAGAGTGCAGACATAAGGTTGGATCGTAGCTACCAGGCAAATGATATCCCAAGCTCTTCACCACCTGCATCTGTAACTAGCGGGGCCCTGCCTCATAACCATGGGATTGGGGGGGCATCATCACAAGCTACGCAGGAGCTGGAGAAATTGCATCAGGGTGAGCGCTTTCAACAGGCCTGCGTTCTGCCATAACACTGCTCCCAGCCATGGACAAGATCAAATCAGAATTTGACGAGCGTCTGAGAGTCACTAGGCATCCCACTGAGGAAAATATGATCGGCCAGGGAAATAAAATCATGACTCCAGCTGCACTCTCTAACATCCCCCAGCTCTATCACATAATTTTCCAGTATGTTGACCAGGGTGCCAACCTCCGATACCCCAAAATCAGCAGTGTAAAAGAGGAGGAGAGGACAGCAGGGCGTATTAGGAAAGGTATACTGGCCACACAGATTCGCCATCAATTTCTTTTGGAGCTGAGAAGCTCTGTGATGGAGCATAGCACTTTTGTTGCCCCTGATGCTCGGCATTGGATCCAGACAGCCTCACAGCGTGCTCGTTCGACTTACAGCCGCTATAAACTGGGGAAAACGACGCATAGCCGCCGCCACAACGGCAAAGGAAGGGGTGCTGGCTTCAGTGGAAGTAGTAAATAATTCGTGTCTTGTCCTTATTTTTTTAATCCCCTTTTAACATCCTGTACCAGCTGGACCCTACTATCGCAGAATTGGGCTGGAGATGTTTTTAATAGATATTTTTGACAAGGTTAAATCCAAGTGGGATGGTCAGCGAGTCTTGAGCAGAGCTCTATCATTGGGACAGCAAAGCAATGGGACATGGAGAACCGAAGACAACTGTCACACCAATCAAAACAGGACACAGATGCATGTGCGCAGTCATCTAATCATTAGACATGACCGTATTTGCAATTGGTACGATTTAAATCCGAAGTTCCAGCCCAGGGGAAACCGGTCAAAATCTAGGAGAAAATAGGCGAGCTTATGTTACTCTTGAATTCGAGAACACACATTCGAACGGCTGCCTGCATGCTCGTAGAATATGGGAACATCAAACTTAGGGACCCTAACAATACTTTGTACCATCGCCACATCTCTTCCTGTCTTGGTCTATGAGTGATATTGTCGGACACCAATTAGCGATTGAGGTCCAGCTTGTAACGATGGCATTAATGCTGAATATGACATGAACGACTCTAGATCATGACGATACAGATGTTTGACTTCGCCTCGTTGGCCCTTTTTGCTGAGAAGATCAAGCGCCATGAATGGTATTGTCCCCGTGCGCTCGTTGACCTGAGGACCCAGCGCAGTCACCAATGAGGATAGATCGTAATTGTTTAAGACACCCATCAAGACGGTTCCGTTCCGGTACCACATCATGTTACCAGGGCTGACATCTCAGTGGTAGACTCCTGCTTGCCAGAGAGCATAATGGCCTACAAAGCACATCATTTCAGCCAATGGAGAGAGGCAGATACAATGAGCCACGTACACATGATGCATTGCCGCCACGTGTCGAAGAACTCTGTGCCTTTAAGCTCCGTAATGGGCTTGAGCTTGCGGAATACAAGGATGTAGAGCACACGACTACCCTTCGCTGGTTCTGAAATACCAAGCGCTTCTCTGATTTTGGATGTAAGATCCTTGAATTTGTGGTGCCATAGTAGGTGAGGAATGTGGCCCTTCACGGCATCTTGCTCTTCTGCAATCTCGTAGACCTTCTTTAAAATGTCTGGCTCGCTAGTGCGTTGCTCCTCCGCCCAAAAGACTTTAGCCACCATGCCATCTTTTGCAATCTCTGGGTTGTCCTTGGAGAGCTTTGCGCTAGTGACAGGAAACACATTAGTGGCGCGTCCCTTGAGTCCGTAGTGCGCCACTCTGTCTTTGTGACTCGTATGACACTCGAGATCTACGCCATCAATCATGAGTTTGTGAGAATCATTCTTCTCATCGTACTTAAAGTCCGTGCTTCGACCCCAATGGACAAGGCTGAATCGTTGGAACACATATAACAACACCATGAATCGTGGGAGGTCTTGGATGAAGTTGATACCGGAGCACTGAATAGTCCCCTGTCGATCATAATGCCAGACCCAGACCATCTCATCTATAAAGACGATGATAAGAGCATAACCGATGTGAAGAGACCAAATAACACACCGACAACGACAAGATTGACAAGATGTTTGACAGCAACATTGGCAGCAAACATTTTGGCAGCATATAGCCCTGTTTGAACAGTCACATCTAGCTTGGATTCCGGGTCGGGTTCCGTGTTGTCGCCAGTCTTGACACGCTTGCTGACGGATTCCAAAGTTTTGGCAACCTTGCGCTTGCTGGAGTCGTTGGATGAATTTTGAGAGCTTACAGCAAGACGAGGCGAACGTCGTACAGCTGAGCTGGTTTAGTTTAACATCTGGGTCGTAAATGCACCACTTACGTCGTTCAGCATCGGGTACTGGCAGAGTTGCTGGGGTCTGGGCAGAGTCTGCCGCTGCAATCGCAGACATGTCGGTCTCAGGAGGTTCCACGCGCCGATATTCTGGATGGGTAGGCTTATAAGGCACATATTACAGTGACCTATCTCCGTATAATACGAGGGAACGGACATGCATAATATCCCGTATGATACGGGCCAGCGGACCATGGGCCCATAATAAAAATATCCTCGACTATGACGGATGGGCCGGGAGGCAAATTATTCCCGATGGAGACGGGTGGGCCCATGCAGGGTATATATAGAGTAGATGAGTGGGCCGATGTACATGAATATTAGGTAGACGGGTGGGCCGAGGTAGTTGGATATTATGCAGATGGGTGTATTAAGGTAGATGTGTATGAGATAGATGGGTAGGTACTTGTTATCACATTCACGGGTGGGCCCAGACACATATTAAATTAGACGGGTGGGCCCAGACGCATATTAATTAGACGGGTGGGCCGAGGGTGTTGTATGGGATGTTGTATTAGACGGGTGGGCCGAGGGTGGTATAAAATATAGATGGGTGGGCCCATGTGTATCATAATTGTAGACATGATGGAGCTGAGGTAGTTGTACATCAACCAAATCAGAGGAGGTAATAAATCAAAGTTACCAAGTTCCCGGAGCAGCAGGTGATCTCCTGACATGGCCTTTGATGGTGCACAGGTTGTCTTGCAGAATGTGGAATCCGGGGTGCGAAGCTTGTGTTGCCCTACGAGAAGCCAAGTTCCGACCACCAAAATGTGAGTCAACCGTACTCAGAGGAGGTAATAAATCAAAGTTACCGAGTTCCCGGAGCAGCAGGTGATCTCCTGACATGGCCTTTGATGGTGCACAGGTTGTCTTGCAGAATTTGGAATCCGGGGTGCGAGGCTTGTGTTTCCCTACAAGAAGCCAAGTTCCGACCACCCAAATTTGGGTCAACCGTACCGACTTCCGAGTTCCGGGACCCGGGAGTCGACAAATGAATATCTGATGACCAGCACACTTCCAATCAGGTAGTATTTCATTGAGCAATGGATAATAATACATCTTTGACAGCCAAAATTATCTCAGGCTCCCTTATCTGATCCTCTCTATCTCCACCCCCTTTAACACCAAAGTCCGGACATTCAGCATTCAGTGTCTGATTTCCCAAGATTAACATCCAGCATGAACGGTTCTTCCCCTTCCACTCCTGATAGTATAAACATCTGGCGCACTTGGGCCCTGACTGTGACTTATGAAGCAGGGGAATATACCGAACAGAAATTCAAGGCAGAGAAGACTGGAGGAGGCCCAGTCATACCTTCCCCCAACCTAGACACTGATCTGGTGATGGTGTGCGATCGCTTGGCTGATGTACTCATAAAGGCATATAAAAATCCCAGTGGGTCTTCCTGCAGATTCGGAAAATTCATTTTATCATTCAAATTCCTGCATGACAGTTCAGATGCAGGTGGATATTGCAAGATATAGCAAATTGATCTCCCCGAAGGACACCGGGCATAATGAACAGAGAGAGGCTAGGTTGCTTGAGAGGTGTCCTCCTGGCCATGAAGGCAAAAGGTTGGTCGACGAACCTGCCACAATTCTCGATGCATCCGGTGCCATCATCGCATGGTACCTCCCAGACGCCCTGACCGACACCACCCAGGTGTGTAATATGCATTGTTACTCAATGGATATTGAATATCAAATGGAACCTACAGAAGGAAATCAGGGAAGCCACCAATTTGCTCGCTCCAAGCCTCGAAAAAAGTGTAAGGGCTGATGGCAATTGGCGAACTAATCAAAAGTGGTTCAACCGGGGCTCGGAAGATGTTGGGGCAACTCCCGGATGCATCAATTTATCTCCGGCATGGTTTCAACAGGGACACGAGGTAGGATCTGATGAGACGGTGATTCCGGCAGTCATACTCACCAATCCCAAAGAATGTGTCCGATCCGGAGGTATCTGCATCATTGAAGGGACCTTCCTGCGAGAATATCCTCAAAGCCATTTCAAGGCCAGCAGCCATCGCGTCCGCGGCACTCAGAGTCATGCATCCTGAGCAGTACTGGGCAGGGTTGTGAACCTTGTCAAACCTAGGACATATAGCAGTAAGCAAGGATCTGCCACAGATGCCGGAGGCCCTGCAGTACTGGGCATCGGTGTTTAACACCCTCTCCATCATTTCCAATCGGGAAACCCCAAATCATCGAGACCATTTGTCCATTGCTGAATGCTTCGACATTCTCACCACCATGGGGAACTATTCTAATGCTCGGATGACAATGCCAAGCCTTCAGCTGGAGTTCAAGTACAATTCCGGCTGTATGATTGCGTTTTCCGGAAGGATTGTGAGACATGGAGTTTATGATGTGGAAGGGGATCGGATTGCTTGGGCATGGTATATGAGGGATTCTGTTCACATTTACGCTGGTGTTCCATCATGTGGATGGGCTAGTGTGGATGGTCCATACAGTGTGTGAAAGATCAAACAAAGAGCATGCATTGTGACCTATATACATTCCAACAAATGAATACCATGTACCAATAGTTATCTGGACCTCAATACTCAATTTTGAGCATTTGCGAAGTGATATATGGGACTGAATAATTTGGATGCGAGCCTCAGTATTCGATAATTGGAACTTGGGACTTGACATATGGGAGTCCCGAGTGCCAGGGTACTGAGTCCCGAGACCCGGACCTCAGCACTTGATATTTGAGACTGGGGGAAGATGTATCAATATGCTCAAATTAACATTTGTTATTGCCGTACACATTTGACAAAACCCTGAACCCCGACATTGTGAACTCGGGACTCGACACTGTTCTGAATACCGAGTCCCGGAAGCCCAGGTCCCGAGTCCCGAATTTCGGAGTTCGGGGTTCGGCAACCCGGAGCTCGGCAACTGTGTTGGGTGTCAGGGTATGCGGAGCATTGGAGATAGCATGTGTCAGTATTTTGCATTTCATGGTTCATGTTTGGCTGACACATGCGATCTCCAATGTTCCGGATACCCTGACACCCAACACAGTTGCCGAGCTCCGGGTTGCCGAACCCCGAACTCCGAAATTCGGGACTCGGGACCTGGGTTTCAGGACTCGGGACTCGGAGCTCGTGACCTGGGACTCGACAGTGTTCTGAATACCGAGTCCCTGACGCCCGATTCTATAATCACGAAAGATTCCATAATCACGAAAGATGAACCATGAAACGCAGAATACTGACACATGCTATCTCCAATGCTCCGGATACCCTGACACCCAACACAGTTGCCGAGCTCCGGGTCACCGAGTCCCGAAGCCCGAGTCCCGAGTCCCGAATTTCGGAGTTCGGGGTTCGGTGACCCGGAGCTCGGCAACTGTGTTGGGTGTCAGGGTATCCGGAGCATTGGAGATAGCATGTGTCAGTATTCTGCGTTTCATGGTTCATCTTTCGTGATTATGGAATCTTTCGTGATTATAGAATCGGGCGTCAGGGACTCGGTATTCAGAACACTGTCGAGTCCCAGGTCACGAGCTCCGAGTCCCGAGTCCCGAAACCCGAGTCCCGAGTCCCGAATTTCGGAGTTCGGGGTTCGGTGACCCGGAGCTCGGCAACTGTGTTGGGTGTCAGGGTATCCGGAGCATTGGAGATCGCATGTGTCAGCCAAACATGAACCATGAAACGCAAAATACTGACACATGCTATCTCCAATGCTCCGGATACCCTGACACCCAACACAGTTGCCGAGCTCCGGGTCGCCGAACCCCGAACTCCGAAATTCGGGACTCGGGACCTGGGCTTCTGGGACTCGGGTGCAAGATTTTTGAATGCATAGAATATTTTACATCTTGTATACAATGAACACTGAATGGGACTACACTCCTTTGCCTTTCCTCAATTTCTCTAACATGTCAGTGTACATCTTCACCTCTGCCATCTTGGCTTTGATGCCCTCATCTTGCTCCTCCATCAATGCTTCCATGCGTTCTTTAATCCACCTCAGTCCCATAAGTGGTGGAGTCGAAGTGTTTCTCAACTTCTCTGGAAGAACCAAAGCATCATCCTCAACATTAAGCTAGAACAGATGAGTCATCAATCAAGGCAATTCAGCTAACATCTTACCGCCCAATACTGGTAGTGAGAGACGCAGGAAGCCATTATTTCATCCCACTGCCATGGTTGATCCGGGATTGTGGTGTTTCCCATCCACCATGGACATGTATATGCAAACACAATCCGGGACGGATGTCCTGCAATTGCCTCATCATCAAATGAAAGGAGGTGGAATGAAAAGACGTCGTCCGGAACCGTGTTCCAGGTTAGCATGGGATACAACTTAAGGATATAAGCGACAGGGACCGGAAGAACCGACACGATATTCTGTGAAGCTGAGTACTGCAGGAGTGGTGTGACAAAAGTCTGCTCAAATTTTTAGCATTGACCAACAAAGTCATCAGGGCAGTGGTAACATACATTCATCTCCCATTGCAGCCCAGCTTTAAAATACTTTATCCGGTCAGAAGATAGACCATTGTTGGCAGCTTCCGTCTGATATTGAGAGATGCATGCACGGACCCGCGATCCAGCCATTGCCAATGTGCAGGAAATAGTTCCAAGGCTCAGCTTCAGGGGTCGGTAATGGCTTCCGGCATTCAGAGTGCCAGAAGTGGATGCAGGAGTTGCAGGCATGGCTAATACAGGACTATGGCGCTGGCAATGCAAGTGAAAGATGGTGAAGATGTGAAGATAAGAATCACTGATGGATGGATACGAAATTCAAACTCCGACATGGGCTGACCCGGACAATTCCCGGGCCTCAATTATGTATGTGGAAAAAGGGACTTCATGAGAAAACAATGTTCATTCATCTCCAGCCTCTATCAACACGTTTTGTAGGTCTTGAAAAGCTGCCTGCGCATCCTGTGCGAGCAATGAATACATTCGCGATTGCCTTCCGGCATAGCATCCGTGACCCGGAAGGCGTTTCTCCAATGATTCCTGCATGTGGTCGCCCCATTGGGTTGCTTTCCACAAAAAGAACTTACATGTCCAATCCATCTCCAATTTGACCAATATCATTTCTTCCCTCCATCGATCTCGTAGTGCCTTTGCCCGCAGCCAATGGACTCGGTAAACTTGGCATGGGTCCAGTCAGGTAACCGTGGGATATGACATGCAAGCAGGAACTCACATTCCTCATTCCACGATTGATCAGGACCCCCGAGGTCGACTTCAACAGACCAAAACCAAGCCAAAGATTCATTTCGTTGACCTCGGGCATTTGGGTCGCCCACTGCAGTGCTGATTTTGAGTTGCTCGCGAAGCAGGGGTTTGTATTTCTGAAGCTGGTCTTGCCCCGGCTCAAGTTTCATCATTTGCTTCCTGGTCTTTGTATATATGCTGGCATGGAGGGAGACTGCCTGCTGCACCGACGTCACCTGGGACCAAGCTCGAGTTTTCAGGGCCTGGGATTTGGCCTGCCGAACGGTTGTTCGGAACAGGATGGCCTTGTTGCAAAGGTAAATGCGGAGATTGTGAAGGGCATCATTGGCCTGCCCTTCACGAAGAGACATCTCCAGGGGAATCAGATCCTCTGCCATGCATCGTCTGCATCTATCAACACCCAGGTTTGATGGCAACGGGATTACAGTGAGCTCGGGAGAGTTTGTCCATGTATGAGATGTCTCTGTGAAATCCGCCGGGTCATCATCGAGATCATCTAGAATGTCTACGTTCAAGTCCTCAGGTTCATCATCTGCATCAAATCCCTCCCCGAGATGTGTTAGAGCAGACCGAGCAAATCCATCTATCTGGCCTTGGAGCCGATCGCGTTGACGGGCAATGTCTAATCTCTGTGTCTCAGTGGATCTTCTTCCGATCCTTCGGACCTCGATGAGCAATGCAATCTGAGCCTCTTCAATTGCTAACCCTGTTGATATCCACGTCGCCACAGATCTGCGAGAGGGTGCTGCATTGCGGGCGTTACCCTCCTCTAATAATCTAAGCTCGATCTCCTTTTTGCTTGGTGCTGAGTGCAATATTAATTCCGACCTCGATGGAGACAATGGAACTCAACGTACCCTTTTTTATATTGATCTCATATTCATCCATCGCCGCAGGATCATTCAATCTGCTTGACTGAGCTATCCTCTCCCTGGCTAACCATTCTGTCTTCAAATGTGAGGGTGCTGCTTCATCGAGTCTGTCGAATGCCTTTCCACTTTCCGAGATGCCATTCCTCGCCAGCTTGTATTTCCGCATAGAGTCCTTTTCATGCGAATCATCTTGCAGAAATTGGAGTCATTCATCTGATAATCAAGGCATTCCTTTCGGTGGGGAGATGACATTCCCCGAGCAGCAGGGGAAATCAGATTGAGCCGTGCCCATAGCGTCTCCATGATCTCTCCATCGATCCGACCAATGCCTTCAATAAAGTTAGAAGCATATCGGACATAGCAGCTGTCCTGATGGCCATGAATGTGCCACAACTGTTACGGACTAGGATAGTTCGAGCTCTCCCTAGGCGGATTGCCTAATCTGATAGCGGGCTCGCTATTGGAGAGACGGGGATCTTCTCTCGAATGAGAGGTTCGGGGGTTCCACTTAAGGTAGCGTCGGCTTTCCTTAAGGTGCGGCTTAGACTGAGTGATTGGGATGATCACACAGAGGAAGTTCTGATGAAAACCTAGTAGAATCAAGTAGGGAATATACATGATTCTGTCTGCTCTATATACTGTCGTCCGTGTGCACAGACCAATACTACGTTCGGTAGGTAGCTGTAAGTGTGTCTATACAAGGGCATCTTATCTGATGCCATGTGGTCGATTATCTATACATGAGGCTTACCATGCCTCTCTTATCTGTCCTCAAGGCGTAGCATGCCTTTGAGTCTAACTGCGCATGCTGAGGCATGCGGCTTGTCTTCTGACCATGAGGCAGAGCTTCCTCATGATCCGGGTCGAGGATCATCAAGGTCCGTCCAGATGTTGCCTAGGCTGGTCTAGGTCATCTAACGGCATCCAGGCCATTCTAGGCATCTCTACGAGTCTCCGTTGAGTCGGTAAGTCTTCCAAGACGGTGCATATGGTGGGATAGGGGCTAAGGTCATGATGACCTCCGTAGGAGGGGTTCTCGGTTACATGTTATTGTAACACAACCCAATTCCGGGAATGATGGTTAGTTGTGGTGCCATGTCTAGAAATCGACTTCGATCCACCCGAACCCGAAAGTGTTTGTTGTATTGACAATTAATATCATAGAAGGTGACAGCCCTGGTGATGCCTTCCATGTTGTGCCGGGAAGCCTCGCAAAGGGCGTAGTCCATGTTCATTTGTCTGCAAGTGACCCATGGTTAACTCGTGAATGAGGAATGGTGGATGTGGCTTGCCTTTCGCCTTTCTGAAAATCCACCATGGAGTGAGGGACAAAGCAACCGTGTCTGGCACAGGCAACTCCCCCGATACCGGTGGACTCCAGCTTGTGCCGAGCAGCATTAGCTTGATTTACTGCCCGGTGGTTGTTGCAGCTTGATTTTTCCACCATGTCAGCAGCCTCTGCCAGATGCATTTTATACCTGTCCTTTCCTACCATGAATCCAAGCCCATCGGAAAGCCAAACTTCATCGAATGGCTTAATGGGATGCAGATGTTCGGCTTTGAAATTTCCATCCATCACAAATGACCGGGTGTATTTCCAGCTTGGATCGCTAGTATTATTATGGAGGCCACATTGGTTGAGAATAGGACTCACTCATCAAGCAATTCATCCTCTGACAACAGCACATTAATCCCTGGCTGAGGACACGCCGGGCAAAATAATGCGAGTTCTCCTGTGCTCGGGTTATCAGAACGATGGCCAAAGCCATGCCATTTCATTGTCTTCAACTGCCTCCACTGTCGAGCGACCCTCATGAGCTCTCTGTATCGGTCCTTGCAATGTGCTTTGTCAATATGATGTCCAGTAGATGAAGAGGGTAAGGCATTACCGGAACAAGGTGTGGAAACATGCTGGAGGTCATTCGCCGGAGCTTGCTGTAATAGTTCATCGCCGAGGTGCCGCATTCAAGGCTGTCCAGTAGAAAATCATTGAGCACTCTGAAGGTGAACACAGTCTTTGGCCTGTTGAAAGATGCAGGGAAAAATCTGTGTCGAAACATTTGAATGTCCGGACTCATGGCATTCGGACATTCACAACATCGAATCTCCAGGCGATGAACTCCGGACTTGTCTACAATGACCATGGTGTTTTCCTTTGGCTGGAACTCGGGTCCGGACACAAATGGCAGATCTTCAGGCTCGAGCAGGTCTTCAGGTTCATCTTCTTCAAACAAATTCACCGATCAGTGACCTCCGGACATTGTTTGCCATCATGGCCAAGTGTATAATGAGTCCCACATGAGCGAGACAACTCCGCTCAAAGAATCGCCCATTCCATTGACTGATCCAGTGGAAAGGATTGCTACGATGTTGACTCCTGCAACAGCCCGTGCAATAGAGTGGCTCGCCAAGACAATCTTGACATTTGTACACCCCATCCTGTTCGCAGATGATGCATCTCCTGTCTTCTGGTGGAGCTTCTCGATCAAGGAGGTGATGTAGATATGATTCCTGCCTTGGCAGCCATTGCCTGAGGTAGTCATTTTGACTCTGTATTTTGAATGCTTAGCCATAGTTTAAATGACACTCCAACATTGTACATGAACTTGCCATGGTTTTTGGGAGTTGCAAAGGCTCAAAGGAGCCTTGGTCCTGCTCATAAGTATTGTCAGGAAAGTCTTCCCAAGGAGGTGGTGCCTCAACAGGCTGAATTGTTGGTGATTCTGGGGGAGAGTTAGGCATGGACCTGTAGGCATGTCGCCTCGTGCTTGCAAGTGGGACCTTGACCCAAGTCTTCCTACCTTTGCTGCCCTTGCTTCCACCCTGTGAGATTTTTGCACTGGGGTGCATCTACCTATCTTCATCTTGTTTACTAATGTTGCAAGCAAG